TTGAATTCAAATGAGAGGAAAAAGGGCTGTGTGACAAAGCTTGCTCTACAACAAATAGGCACCAGCTACTTGCAACTACACAAAGGCTAGAAATTTGGGAGAAGGTTTCTGATATCAAAGCAGCAAAACCGTGGAGCAGCCTCCATATGTGGGTAACGATGTGAAAAACCACTAACGGCTCTTAAAGCAAAGCCTGATGACAGGGGATTATAGAAAGTGTTGTCTGTGATAGAAAGGACCTGGGCATGAAAACCCAAATAGCCTGTTCCAGCCCTGTTTAATGGAAATGCCCAATAAATGGGCAACACCAAGCCCAGGTGGGCAAAACTTCCATTTGAGGCTACATTCCTTGGTAAGGCTTTAATTTGTGTAGTTTCCAGAGTTGGGGAGCTCCTGGGCTCAGCTCCAATAGTGCCATGGATGGGCACCTGGGCAGCCCAGAGCTCACAGAGATGTACTGCAACATCAGGAGCAGGAGCTTAGCTCTTGTACCAAAACAAAAGGTTTTGGAGTGATTTCAGCAGTGGTCAGCAGTGAGGGGAACAGGGCAGGAGAAAGTGAAGGATTTCCCTGTGCAGACACTGCATGTCCATATTGCTAAGGTACTCTTGTTTAAGGACAAAGCTAAAAAACAGTGTACGTTGCCCAAGCTGCCAAGGCATCAACCACTTGGTGTTTGCTTAGTTTTACAAAATGATGCTTTTTTTTGCTTTTTTTTTCCTTTTTTTCTTTTCCCCAAGACAGTTGCAAAGGCTTAAGAAAGAATATTTACATAAATATGCTTAAACTTTACAAGGAGCAGAGAGGAAAGGGAGAAGTCGGACGGGAAAAGTAATAAGACAGGGTATGGGAATCAGTTCATTTTTACTTTAGGGCTACACATTCTGGGGAAAGTGGCTAGGGATATTGGCATGTGGTTCTGGACCACCTAAGCTCAGAATGAAACCATATGTGGGGGAATCATGGGATCATGTCACAGACTCCTAGAATGGCTTGGGTTGGAAGAATCCGGCCACTGAGTGAGACCGGGAAACATCCCCACGGAGCACAGGAAAGCTTTTGGGAAGCAGCAGGCTGTGAAGGGGGATTGTCACGCAAAAGTGAAGCGTGCCATCTGATGCACTGGAACTTTCATGGTAACTTTGCCCTGAAAGCCCCCAAAGCCTGTAAGTCATGACGTTTCAGTGTTTGGCAACCTCCTGGGGACCTTGAAGCAGTACCTGCAGGACTCCTCCCAGCAGCACCAATGCCACCGCGCAGCAAGGTGACTCCTCTGCTGCTCCAATGGGCCCTTTGCCACGGGGGAAAGGAGCAGAACGAGTTTGTGGGAAGTGGACGGGTACAGTATGTAAATAAAAGCCGATTGCACCCTCATTATGTGGGCTCTTTTGAATAAATGTTAGCCTTTAAGTGCCAGCTGTCACTCTATGCATGGCCTCCCTTCTTACAACTAACCTCTCCGTCACCTCGCCTTGTCTCCCTAACTTGTCCTATTATGCAGTACCAAGCTGAGTCATTGTTTCAAGCAGGAGGTGACATGTTAATAGCTTAATAATAGTATAATCTCGCAAATAATAATATGCTGTCACACTGTCTGAAGCACAATGTTTACAGGAGAAGTGGTAATGTATGATGACAGTAATTTGAATAAAAATGAATTTACTGCTCTTGTCTCATTTGCAGTAAATTTTCGCATCTTTCATGCACAACTGGTGCTCCATGACCTCTTTCATTATTGTGTTCTCAGTGGCTGCTGCTTGCTTTAAAGTGAAAGGCAGGCAAATGAAACAGAAACCTGCAGCTTAATAACCGATCTCCAGAAAAGAGTTTGTGCCGCGGCTTCTGAAAATCTCTCTTGGTTTGTTTACTGAGATGATACGGTGTCAGGCAGGCTGTTTAATTAATGCAAGCTGGAGGTGCCGATTGAAAAGCAGGCATGAGCTGATATGATTATGTATTGACAATTTACAAAATTATTGTCATTAAAATGTGTCAGAGGGAAAAAAAAAGTGCCTGGAATACAGAGAGGATCGTTTGGTTTGAAATTAAAGTTTGCACAGCTTAAGAAAAAACTGTTTTAAACGCTCTCGGTACTGTTTGACGGGGGAGGAAGCAATCCTGTGCTTTCTGTTTGATGCAGGGAACGTGTTGGAAGCTATCCGCTTTATTAGCTTTAGTTATAAATGCATACAGCTATGATGCTAGAGTGTACAACTTACAAATGATCCCTGGATGTATCAATTATTTGTGGCTCCTGCTGTGTGCTCACATGTCTTGACCCTGAAATTCTGCCACTTTCACGTGCAAGATGGACCAGGACTTGTGTGCTATCCTGGCAAATAAATTGGAAATCTATAGATCAAAACTGCCTTTGGAAAACCTAAACTCCTAGGACAGTTCTGCGTCTGCAAAAGAAAAAAGAACTTATGACGTGATTTTGTGCATTTGATGAAAGAAGAAGGAAGTTTACAACTCACAGCTGATGTGCCTGGACTAAATTCGGTGTGATGGAATGAGGACAACTAATTGAAACTTACTGGGACTCAAAACACTGCACAGGACAAATTGTCAAAAAAATGCTGTATTTTATCTAAGTTTAAGGGAACGTACAGAATAAAAAAATGGGCTTTGTGTGACCTAGTTCATAGGTTAAAGTCACTAGGGCTACAGATTACCTCCCTATCTGTGTATATACAAATGCACACATGCGTTTTTTTATTATTTCTATTTTGCACCCAATCTGTACATTGTTTTCCCTCTGAATAGAAAGTTAAGCAGTATTAATTTTTCAGGAAGAGCTCGATGCTTGCTGTGTAGGAGTTTTTTGAGTGACAGTATGACTTTCAATTTTAAAACAAATCTTCAGAAGAGGCAGGAGGAATCATAGAATCATAGAATGGCCAGGGTTGGAAGGGACCTCAAGGATCATGAAGCTCCAACCCCCCCCTCTGCATGCAGGGCTGCCAACCTCCATATCTAATACTAGACCAGGCTGCCCAATGCCCCATCCAACTGTCCTTGAACACCTCCAGGGATGGGGTATCCACAGCCTCTCTGGGCAAGAGATGGCAAAATGGCAGAACACTACTTGCTCTCAATAAACTAAGGAATGGGTTGTCAGTGTGCTTTGTCCTGCTCCCATTTACTGACCACCTGTGAGCTGGAGTTGGCAACCCAGGATTGTGAAGCCTTGGAGGCACCTGTGAGTGGTGTAGTCCTAACCCAACATCAACCTAAGCAATTCAAAGCCACTTTCCAACACACCTCCCGTTTTCCTTTTCAAAGCACTTGCATCCCTCACCCCGTGAATGCTGCACAAACATCGGGAAATGCCCACACGTGATGCTGGAAGTGTGAACATCCCATGGATGGTTCTACAACTCACCTCCCATGTGCTGTATTGCTTTTTGTGTGGGTGGTGCAGAACAAGCATTGTGGCTGTGGAGTGCTGGGATGCAGCACCCAAATCCCATAGGAGTGCAGATGGGCAGTAGCAGCCACCACCCCATGGTTTTTCTCAGTAGTTTCAAAGACTTTGCATACAGGAAGGAACCTTCTCTCTTTATGCTGATATTTACCTTTGGAGGGTGACATTCTGAAAAAACCCAAACAAACAGGAAAGTCACATTACTGGCAGCAGTAATCTGATGTGGGGCTTTGGAGAGTGTGTGCAGCCCCATGCAGGAGTCTACGGAGACAGCAGAAGACACAACTTTGAGGCTGTCTCTCTGATACCATTCTCTCCGAACATAGAGGAAAACAAGTTGTCTCCATTAGGAAGAGGCAGTGTGGTGGTGTGATGAATCCAAACATGTGCTTGGCTTCAAACCTCACAGTAATTGCAGTGAAGTAAGCACAGAGCTATTTGCATGCCTCCAGTGAAGGCTGATGCGTTTCATAAGCACCTTGCAAGGCCGGGAGGAGGTTTGAACTGAATTTTCAGTTCTTGTTTACATGAAAATTTCCAGGGGATTACTCAGAGCAGTGAGAGCTGCGTGACCCCCACCAGTTCATTGCAGTAAAAGAAGCTGTTTTGCTGAAAAGGCCTTTCCATTTTCCGCTGGAAAATATTTTCTGTTTAAAAATAATTTCTGTTTTCCCAGTGTACGTTTAACACTTTCATCTGAGAGTATTTCATATCATGCTGGAAATCCCAGTCATGTGAGTTAAAAATAAAAATATTTATGTAATCACAGGATTAAATAATGATTAACAGAGATCACGTGTGAATGGGAAGTGGAGAACAGAGCAGCAAAGCCTCACTTTGGCTGATGGAGTTTCTTTCATGTATATAAAAGGTGTCTTTTCCCCGAGCCACCAATGTTCAAGGGGATGTCTGTGTCGTGCTTGAAACTGAGAGGTCCTCTTTGTTGCTTAGTGCTGCCTTTAAATTATTTAAATGTAGAAGGGTCTGATTAGAGGTCTTAATTAGGTGTACCGATGAGTGGTAAAAATACCACTGTTCCAAATGGCCTCACGGATCTGTGAGCATGCAAGTTATTCAACCAAACATGAGGAAGTTTCACAGGGGGTGAAAATGGTATGTGAGGAAATCGATAAATCAATAAAGTGGGTGGAGCTAACTTCTCCACGTGGAAGTCAAGTGGATTTTTAATTGAGTCGGAGAGGCGCTGGCTCAGGGCTGTGGGGTGTGCGGTGCTCAGTTACCAGCTAGTGCTCTCCCTAATCACCTTGTTCTCTAAAGGAAATAGATACTAAACAGGAACCATCTGGTAATACATTCTGTACCTCTTAATTACAATGTTTTGAGTGGCACCTAAATAAATTTCATTTACAAGCACATGACTGCTTGTCAAAAGCTCCGTTGATAATTTTATTATTGTAGTATACCTTCTTGCTTAATGACCCCGGCCCAGTAAAGTCAGGAATATTCAGTCCTATAGAGAGAATGCGTTTGTCTGAAGGAAGGAAAGACACAAACTCTACCTTTCATGCAACATCTCTAATTACTGGCAAATACATTTGTTTCTCTGTTTCAGTTTGGCATGTACTTACCAACAGCATGGCGGGATGTCTGCAGTGAAATGTTCCCAGCTCTGTGACCTCCTGGTAAGCAGGAGGAGTTCACACAGCTCTGTGGAGAGCTCTGGCATTGCTGTAATATGTCTGTGTTCTTTTATGATCTCTGTGTTTCTCTGCAGATGTACTGTAGCATTTAGACAATTTTCTCTTCGTTAGCTGCAGGAAAAGATCAATATTATAAAGAGGTCAAGTGACTCCGTGAATTAGTCTCCTGCGTTTTCACTCCTGGAAGTGGCGGATCTAATCCTGTTTGGAGGTGAGATGAGGCTGAGCCATGAACACTGTCCTTGGTCTGTGCTGGAGCCTCCTCCAAATCCGAGAGCTCACCGTTTAACAGAATAGTTTGGTGCTGTGTGATGTGATTGACATAGAGTCATAGCATCATAGAATAGTCTGGGTTGAAAAGAACCACAATGATCACATAGTTTCAACCCCCCTTTTATGTGCTGCCCAGAGCCCCATCCAGCCTGGCCTTGAATGCCCCCAAGGATGGGGCAGCCACAGCCTCTCTTGGCAACCCGTTCCAGTGTGTCACCACCCTCATACTCCATTATAGAAAAATTTAAAACTATGGTTGGTCTCCATGATGAGGAGATGTGCATGGACAGAGGATGAGCCACCACTGCTCTCTCCCATACAGCTTTTTTTTGGGTGCAAGAGAAGGTTTTCTTTTGTCCTTGCTGGGAGCAGTGTCACTTGCAGGAAGATCTTGGCTCATCCCAGTACAATATGCACAGAGTACAAAAATATTACCAGTCATTGCAGATTTTGCTATGTTTTACAGGCAAAGTGCTAATTCATCCCCGTGTTTGAATGTCCTTTTTGAATAGCAAGTAAGTTGGAGGAGACAAAACTCCTATGAGGGAGGGCAGAGGAGGGGTTTCTGGGAAAACAGGAGGAATATGGCACCTGGAGGGGTTTTGGCTGCTTCTTTGGGATGAGCTGCCCATGGGAAAAGAGCCTCATAAACTGTAAAATAGCCCTATTTCTAAATCCATGGCAAATTAAGAAAAGGAATTCTACTGCTCTCAGCAGGATCCTTTACTTCTTTCTAGTTGCAGTTCCTGTGTTGTTTTTTTCTTTAAAATAATTTTATCTCTAGGTCTCAGTCTAGGTGTGAGAACTTTGGGAAACAAATAAGCTTTCAAATACTTTTTTTTAATCAGTGCTTTAGCAACCTGAGATTGAAATGATACATAAATTCAGGAAGGAGTGGGTAAAATAGAGAGAGTAAGTGTCACCAAATGGGGCTGTATGATTGGGCTTGTGAAGCCTGAGCAATCTGGGCAAGGAATGGGGAATTCACTGTATGCAGCAAACTCTTAGACTGTACAATATAATATCTGGATCTGCAGCTAATGTTTAAAGAGGGCACTTGCTTTACTTATGAGATTAAAGGCAAATGCTCTCTTTTAAAAATGAAGTCATGCTGTGTTTTGCACCTTTTGACACTTATTAACTCAGGTCATTAAAAAGAGGCTAATTAAAAAAGAATGTAAAACAAAAGAGTCATTTGTCTATTGCCGAGCTGGGTTCTTCATGTACGCTGACTGGAGGCAGTCTCTGTTTAAGCTGTGGGTACAGAAAGCACTGATGGCCACTGGGGCATGCTTGGAGCTTGTCATGGCTTTTGGCTAGACTGTGGTCCGGCTCATTATGCACCTCATAAAGAAGAGAAGTCATTGTCATCAAAATTAGCTGAAGCTGGAATTTACATTCATGGAAATTTTGGTTTCACCATTGTCCTCTGGGGCTGGACAATAAAGGAAACCTTTTACCAGCTGCAGTTAAAGTAAGTGAAGTTCAATAAATGCTTAGTGCTTCATTAAGGCATTTCCGAACATACTGTGCTATATGCTAGCGATATTTCACAGGCGAGGAGGCTTTGGTACAAACAGCTTGTGAGGCTCAGTAGTTCCAGGGGCACGAGATGTGCAATACACACCAAATCCGGCTTGTAACAACCAGCCTTTCTAGCCATTGTTTATCCCAGAGGTGTTCCTGTCCTCTACAATGGACACTTGGTTAACAGGCACTTTCTCACTGGTCAGGTAAAAAAGTGTCCTTTCACAGGAATGAATGAGTTCTCCTGCAATTGAGGGAGCCAGGCTGACTTTTTCACCCTCTTGAATACTTGGAGTGTTGCACTTACCTGCACAGCACCATGGGGCAGGCTGAGAACCTCTCTGATTGCGGCAAGGCCAGAGGCTGACTGAAGGCCCATTCACCTTCCCAGTAAATCCTCCCAAGGACTTCCAGGAGGATGTGGACAGATTTGTGGTTTATTGCTGAAAGCTCAGACGGGCAGCGGGAGCTGGGCTGCACCCATCGCTCTTCCCTGAGCTCCTCTGAGCTGAGATGACACGGAGGCATTTGGAGGACAGGAGTCTTGCTAGGGCCATTTTATGCCCAAAAAGGAAGCCATAATGACTAGTCAGCCACCTGTCTTCCCGCACCTTCACTTGACAGTGCATGGTGTAGTTTTTTTTCCATGCTGCTGAACTTCCAAAGCCATGAAGATATTTATGGAAATATCTTCAGCAGGATTTCAATCACTCTCCGTAGCGGTGCGCCTTGCTGGCCTACAGAGAATCAGATCAATCACAAATGTTTCTAGAGAGGGTTCTCCAAACAGAAGTGCGCTTCTCCGAAATCCAAGATTTGCGAGTTGGAATCGATTTTGCTCGTTGTTTTTTAAAGCCTCCCCACTCCTTCCTCACACAGATGACCGTAAATTCAGTCCAGAGCTTTGATTCATAAGGTATTTAAACAGATGCTCTTATTTAAACATAAATCCTATCATAAACTTCAAATTTATGCTTACATGATATCCTGACTTAGGGTCTTAGAGCTGGAAAACACAAAGGGATTAATGAACTTAAGGAAAAGGTTAGGAATGTCATTCAAATGCTGATTGAGGCAATGGCCTTTCAAAGACGAGATCTCTCCAGTGCTGGATCCAAGCCCAAGCCTGGGAAGGGCAGGAGGCAGATGGGGGCACAGCCTGCCCCGATTCTGTGCTGCGGTGGTGGTGGCAGGGATTTGCGATGCCGGCAAAGCCATCCAGCCCTGATGGGTGCTGGGCTGCCCATGTCTGTCCCAACCAGGCCATGCCGATGCAGAAAAAGCCGTATTGGCGTTGTGCAAATGCACACAGCCCGATTTCAGATGCAGCCACACACAGGACAAAAGGGTTAAGGAAGAAGCGCAACTCAGCGCCTGGCGCAGGCAGGGCTCTGCTCATCGCGGGGGGCAGTGGGACCCGCTTTGTGCTGGAATCTGGCTGTAACCAGAATATCCTGCAGGAAGCAGTCATTTCAAACAAGCCATCTTCTTTTTTTTTTTTTTTTTATTCTAGAATATAATTAATACATCAGGTCATGTTTTGTACTGCCAGTGGCGTGTTTATTACATTATTACTTCACAGGCATTTTTAGCGGTAGTCCAGGAGTTAGGAGTCAGTGGCTTTCTAGCAGAGCTATCCCATTTAAGCAGGGTAGGTTTATACCTAGTCTGTGAATATTCATGTCTCCTGAAAATAATAACAGTATTATTGTTGCTGAAATCTTCAGGGAAGCTAGCTGCCAGTGAGAGATTATTTAAAGCAGGTTCTCCCATCACCCCTCCCTAGTGAAAATGCTCAGAAAAAATCCTTATAGACAGATAGGCACAGAGTGTTTTTTTTTTTTTTGTTTTGTTTTTTTCTTTTTCTTTTTCCTTTTCTATTTTTTTTTTTTTTTTTCCTAAAGCCGTGTTTCCAAGGATAAAATCTTACTTGCAAAGATCCTTATTACATGTGTGTACCCTTAAGCTGCTGAGATGACACCACCGCTTACAGGTGGTGGAGTGAAAGCAAGCAAAAGCACCAAACCCCTGAAGTCTCAAGTCACTGCAATCATCTTCAACTCCCAAATTGTCCTGGAAGGAGAATAGCATCGGATTTGTCTTAGGCTGTTTGGCCAAACTGGGGCACAGATGGGATAATGACTTTTACAAACAGCATTTTGATGAGAGGAGGGGAGAAGGAATCATATGTAAAATGCACAAAGGCTGCATAAACACACTGATGCCTGCAGCTGGAACAAACTAAAAAGATGTTTAATAATTTAGAACCAAGCAGGCAGGGCCTGTGCAGCTGTTGTGTGCAGGGGACCATGAAAGTCTTCCATTTGACAGCTGGCTCCATCTTTCCCCAGTTGCTACGTGAAGAAGCGAATGCAGATTTGGGATTAGCCAATCCCTGTTACCCCTGCCCATCTGCCACCAAGACCCCCGGCTCCGGCTCCTCTCGCTGGAGAAGCGCACACATAAAAAAGTCCACACTCTCCCAAACATATGTATGCATCAGTATCAGCCGTCAGCCGTTCCGAGGATCTGTTGACATGCCGCCAGTACATGGCTGCTGTCGTTTTTGCTGCAGGGCACATTTTGCATTTCACACATTTGCAGAAATACAAAATGCTGTTGGATGCAAACAATTCAGGGCCTAATTGGCTGAATTACTTCAATGTTACCTTGTGTCCCCCACCTGATTAACATAGCTCAGCTGGGAGGGCTGGGAAAGAAGGAGCAGAGAGGGATTTGGAGGGCAGGTGAAGCTGTGTTTGCCCATGAAAGCGAGATCCTTAGCGAAGTCCCAGCTGAGCCGTGCGGGGCCGTGCCAGGCAGCGAGCTGTGAGACAAGGGAGCTGCTGGGGGCTGCAGCTCCAGCACAGAGACCTGGCAATGGCTGTCCCTGCTCCAAAATGGGCAGCGCTGGGCACTGCAGTGGCTCTCACGGATTGGAAACTATGTGCAAAATGAGAGGGTTTGCTAAGCCAGACACCAAGCTCACAGCAGCAGAGCAAAAGCCACAAAGGAGCTAATGATCATTATTAGAGCCTATTCCAAAATTGCATTCTGTTATTATTAATGAGGCAGATTATCATTTGTTCTTATTCAAGAGAATGTAAAGAGCTTCGGAAAGATGCAACAATTACAAAGAGGAGGTTGGTTATTATTATTATTATTATTTTTAATGTCAAAATACTCCAAAAAAATAAGAGTTTAGGCTTTATTGTCTTTTTTTTTTTTTTTTTTTTTTTTTTTTTTTCTCTTTTGCTGAGAAATTATTTCTGTTGAATTTTGCACATAAATATTTACATGTGATTTGCATTTTCACCCAGCCTATTCGGGGTAATGTTCTGTACTGGGAATCTTCTTTCTGGCTTTTTGTATTGTTTTGTTTTAAATAATACAGCTTATGGGGAGAAGATG